CTGTCTATATATTGTAAATACAGTATGTTGAATAGCGACTGACTTCCAATTCCAGATTTCACGGCGTATTGCATCGCTTCTTGCTCCTAGGTACTTAGCAGAAGATTAAATTTTAACTGTTCTCGACTCTATTGTTTTTAAGCACTGCAGTGTCAGATGCGTCTCGCAGATTTTGTCTGCTAGAGCCTCATGTGGTCATTAGGAGTATGTTAAGCAGGTTGTTTCCTGTACAGACCTACGTGATTCGATCGGTTTACGTATGCTATAAAGATAGAAGGATTGAGGACTACCTTCCATATTAAGTCCTAAAACGGCATGAGGAGCTATTTCATCAGGTGATGACTGCCTCAAGATTTAAATAACAAGCAAAAGATGCGGTAGATGCAAAGAAATAGGTAGAACATGACGTCGTTTACGCCACTGAATTATCATGAACTTGCAAATCCTTCGTAGTTTTATTGCATTAGCTTATTACATGACGACTTCATCCCTCTAAACTGTTTGCATGTGTCACTGCAGGAGGCAGGAGGAATTCAGTGCTGTGAAACGGTCAGCCGCGAGAATGAATACGTTGTTTCACGGGTTGGATGAATCTTTTCGCATCTTTCATTGGAAAACTAATAAAACCGCAGCAAAAGGGAATGGTCGGTTTACCAGGCCGAGGTTGCTCAGTCGGTAGAGTGCCGAACTCAAAAACAAGAGGTTCCAGGTTCGAGCCCCGGCCTGGTCACTTCCCTTTTTTCTTCGAAGGTTGATAAACCAGTACCACTGTTTGATAGGAAATTTGAGACTACACGCTATACTTGTCACCTGGCCGTAGATTCAGCTTTACAGAAAGCGCTTTTGGCTGATGGCATAAAAGCGGAGATCAGCGTCCCGTAAGCTTCAGGAAATAAATGGCCACAACTATCCCCAATAATGAAAGTGTAAGGAAGACCGATATCCCAACGGTCACAAATTTTCCTGTTTGCACCTAGACTCTAATCAACTGCAACAGACTACGCCAGCTGCGTCAACCAATACCTACAAATTTACCTAGAAGAACTCCTTTAAATATGAGTTTAAATATCATCAGTTATCTGTCACTCGATAAACCAGTTGTTTTGTGCCGTTTGAGTCGACTATTTTATGTTATGATAAACAGAAATTGCTGTTAGTCCATAGTTTTAAATTTTGCTGTTTTTCGAGTCATGTGAATCTTGGCTGAGAGTGTAATGTCCTAGACTTTGTGTGAAATTTATTATAATTCTGAAATATGTTACTGCCTATCAAAATAAATAGTTTTTTTAAATTAAAGGACGAGTTCTGCTTTTAGGTGTCTATTGCTGTGAATATTCACAAGTTTAAGCTCAAAGCTTTGGAAGATAAGGTAAGTGTTTCGAGTCTTATAGATGTTAATAATACAAATTTCCGTTTTAAGAAATTTTCTGCGGCAAATCGTATAAATTTGGAAGTATTTACAATTTGCTAACTTCATTTTTGCCTCAATAAAGAATCAGCAGTGAAGTTCTAAAATACGTAGATACCCTTCCAATAATAACAGCTCAAGAAAAAGACGGTCAGAAATCAGTAGAAATGTACGTAATAAGTGTACTTTTGGGAAACCTCCATGTTGTTCTTCTTCATCACTTCTCCACTAATTAATTTATGCTGTGGAAAGAACACAGTTGTAGGTTCTGAAAGTTTCACCTATTGAATATTTTGCTCTGGGTTCTTGAGGTATAGAGTCATCATCTTCTCTGAGTATCTGCTTAGTAACTAACGTACAGCAGCAGACGAAGAAGTCGAAGCTGGCTCACTTGCCTCAACATCCCAGGGTATATTGGAATTAATAACATTTGTATATTACGATCAGTTGTCAGAAAACTAATTGCGTAAATGGAACGATAAGTTTACTAT